CGATTTACGTCTTATAGAACGATTAACTTGGCACAATGAACACATTCTGATTGATATTTGAACTTTAACAACACGTAACACAGAACATTTTGGCACTTTGACAGCAAATTACTTCTTGCGGCATTCACTGGCCTTGTGGTATCGTTTGTAGCACTTCCTACATCTTATTGTTTTTCGTGGATTTTCAGGGTGGACCTTTAATTCATCCTTTTCTATTTCTCTTTGCTTGATGATCTCATCTAACTACTTTCGTCTTCCACTTGGTTCAACGTTCAAAGTAAGTGGCCCAAGTTTACAAGGCATGTCCGACTTTAACCCCCCACAAATCATTTCTTTTCCTGCACGTTTCTCCTCTATTTGTCTCTCCAGCTCTTAAATTGCTTCCTCATCTTTCTGCATTTTGCTGTCCAGTTCTTCTAACTCCATTCCTATTTCCTCTTGTTTCTCCGTTTCCACATCTATCTTGTTTATTTCTGCCTCCAACATCTCGACCTCCGTGTCCATCTCACTTTTCTTTTCTTCCATCTTTTCCTTTGCTTCTGACTCGGAGTCTGATAGATTTCTCTTGTCGTAGCTCCAGTTTGAATGATGCTACACTCAAAACAAGGTCATCATTAGCTGCAGTAGACCATAGGCTTCCAAAAACTGAGCAGGTGAGATTCAGAGGAGATAGCTTCGCCAGCCTGTGCGGCACACATTTCAACGTACTTAGTTGCTACTCCATTATAGTTCTACTCCAAGCTCAGACTGATGATGAATGGTTTAATAGACTTAAATCACTAGAGCAGCAAGCAGCAGTGGAACAGGAGGAATTTGCAATTGTCAATGCAAAATTTAAAAGCTACCAAATGGAGGTAAATCAAAACAATAGGGTTGGAAGAACAGACTAACGGTTATTCGGTTGTTCGAACAAAAGCCATGGTTAATCAATTAGTCTTCGCCGAAATCGTGATTTTACTACTAGAAAATCGAACAAGTTTACCGATAATTCGATGAAAATTATTCACCGACTGTCGATTAACCGAATAAAAATATTGTTTTTCCAACCCTACAAAAGAATGATTTATTCACCTAAAAGTTGGCTGGTTTGGAAAGTTAGTTCAATTTTCATATGAAATTACACACTGATAAATAAAGTGTTCAATTGTAGTGCACATACAAGTGCTGAACACTATGTTGCACACTTTTAAATGTTTGACTGGATATTTAAATACTAAAATGTGTTTAACGGCAAAATTGCACACTTGAAAGTGTGCAACTCTGGGACACTCTAAAGTGTTTAAATCTAGTTTTGAACATTTGTAAGTATTCAAATTTCCTGTCTAACACCTTAGTGTGTGTACGATAGTGTTGAACACAACCTTGTGCACGCCAGTTGAACACTTTATTTATCAGTGCACAGTATTCTGAAACAGCATCCTAATTTGGCACTCTTGCAGGATTAATTGAGAAGAAAAAACTTTGACCATGAAAGTGACATGCAACAGCACAGCAGCAGCAATCTTCCTTCCGGTTCACAAGGACCCAACTTCCACCTGTTCTCCACCAAACTGGTAACTGATCTTTCTTTGACCACATGATGAAAATGTGTATTTCAAATATTGATTCGAATTCACTGTACTTCCAACTTGCAGATTCCAATTGGCCATGGCGTTGAAGTTGATGCCGATATGTGGGACACCCTTGGTCAAGTAGAGTCAAAGGATGGCTGGGCGTTGGTTTGGCTGCGCTCATGTCTGTGTTTGGTGCTCAAAGCAAGTTCTACAGGGCTTGGAAGCCAAGTGGGAAAGATAAAAATTTAAAGGTGTTCCCGACTCAACCACCAGTCACAGTAGTTTTACAACGTAAGTTCAATTTTGTTTCTTCATTTTCTTCTTCAGTTCTTTAAGCCATGGTGTGTTATTGTTTCCAGACCACTACAGAAAATGGCTTCGGGAACACCCCATTATACTTAATGACGAGTCTGCCAAACAGAGATTGCCTGAGGGCTGTGAGCATGAGGATTGGCCGAC